TTCTGCCTTGAAAGCCCTGTTTGTTGCCCAACACACTCGAGCCAACGTCATGTAGCCTAGGAAGTGAAGTTCAGAGTCTGAGATCGACAGAAACCGCGTTACGAGCATAACTTTTGCTAACGCCAAAATGATACTCAATGACTTGATATTATTCTAACTCAGTTCCAAAACCAGCATCATCAGGTTTTTATGGTGATGCTATACCACTTCGTCAACGATGGCAATGGTTGCGAGGTCGTGTGGCGCAACAACGTGCGCAGTGGTCGACCCTCGACCATGACTGTTCTGGGCTCGAGTCCCGTCGGGGCGAGTTCGAGAGGGCGGTTGAGTGAGAAGACAACTCGAGGCCAGCAAGGGGCAATCCTCGTTGGGCAGATGGACATCTTGTTGGCTGGGCGACTTTGTCGATGGATGATGGAGAAGCATGCACAAATTGAGGCGACAGCCTCGTCTCAACACTGTCGCATCTCGGCCGTACACCACCTGACCGGCTTGACTGGCCGACCGGCTGGCAAGTAAATGGGCCAACTCTGCCCGACCTACTCACAAGTTTGGGCCGGCAGTTTGCAGTTCACAGTTCACAGTTGACTCGATTTAATGCTTTTCACATTCACCTGTAATAATTATGCCGAGGGCAAGAGGTCTCCGTTGGCCCTTGACTCTTGTCCTCTGGCCTGTCAGTTGAGACGAGGCCTACGCGATTTGCTGATATCGGTCCGTTAGGCTGGGTTAATTGTCTACCCACTCGGCAGATTCGCCATGACAGTCGCCGTTCGCACGCTACCGAGTTGGCCATAGCAAACATAGCCCTATCGATTCCGGCATACTCCGGCCGGCTTCGAGTAGGCCAGAGGTACGAACGCCTGGTCGGCTCGGTGCTTGGCCCGTCTTGTCTGCCCGGCCAGGGGGCAGAGGCACTCGGGCCCCGTCGCCTCGACCTCCTCTTCACCACGGCCCCTCGTGTCCTCACGGCCAGACGCACATGTTTGTGCCCACATGTGGAGCTATGCCGAGACAGCACAACAACCGAGTCGACCTTCGCTCACTTTCGACAGACACTTTGGGTCGTCTGGGCCGAAAGGGTCTCCAGGGCGAAGCCCATCAGAAGGGAACCATGCCGAACTGGTTTGCGACTTCTATTCACATGAGTGTGGGAAAATTCAACTACCAGTCCTGCATTACTTTAAGCAAAATAGAGTGAATACATATCATATAAGTAGTATCTCTAATGCAGTAATAGGTTACAGTGAAAAGTTTAATCGAAGATATGAGGCCCAAAATGGTGTGTCCCCGGCATGGTCACAGTCTCCT